TTACTTATCCAATGCCCTCGCCGTACGGACTAGCAGATTCACTGGTATCGCGTACATGTTGCATGGTATTCAGGCCTCGCGGAGGTCTGCAGGCCTGGCGCGGCACCCCACACCTCTTCATGCTCACCACTGTCATACAGTCGGGTCGCTGAAGAAGGAACCCTTTTCGTTGGGGAGGGGCTCGGTGTTCCTTGATTGCTTAACAGTTTGCCTCAGGTTGTCCTGAGGATTTCCATGGGAAATGGAAGTTTAACTTATGGGAAAGAGGGGCCTCGTTCCTTGTTTAGGGTTCCTTAGGTCAACGCCCCGACTGTAACTACTTGACTGTGGCGTTGCCCTCGATTCTTTTAGCGCGCAGGCTGCCCTGCATACAGACCAGGATCGAGCGCGCGCCGATGGGGCCGCGCTGCCCGAGGGCATGGCCACGGGCCATGAGCCAACACGGCTACAGGCAGGGGCAGGATGAGGACGGGTTGGAGTAGGTATGAGCGAAGAAGAGAAAACAAAAAAAAAAAAAAAAAAAAAAAAACGACATCAACACAAACTGGTGGCGCTCCGCGCGGGTTTCTTGGATCCGCGCTGGCCCCCCTTCCCTCCCCGGCCTGGAGGCGCCACCCCGGGGCCCAAGCGCGGATCCAAGAAATCCGCGCGGAGCGCCAACAGTTTGTATGTGGGCCGTGTTTCTCTTTTTCTAAATAGCCAAGACGGTGAAAGGAGGACCGCTTCGGGCTCAGCAGGGTTTTTTTTCCGGTGTTTTTTGTGTTGTTTTCTTGTTCTTTCTGTCGTGACCGAGGCCCGCCGCGGACAGACAGCTTTGGTTCGCTCCCTTTTGGTGGTGCTCCCCCGCGCCAGCACGATGGCTGCACGGTTTGTGCCACTCCCTCCGCGCGTGCCGATCTAACTTCGGGGACAGTCGGCTGAGTCGGGCGCTCGCGCGCGCGCCTCGCGTCAGCGTGTGGCTCGAGCCATCGGAAGTGGGACCCGCCGCCAGTTTCTCGCCTCCCTGCCGGGATGGCATTCTTGCTGGCGCGGGCCTTCGGGGCTCGTGCAGCCCCGCCGATGAGCGCCAGCGTGCCGAATTCTCCGCAGATGGCTCGCGATCGAGGGAACTCCTTTGCTCTCGATCAGATGAGCTCAATGAGCTCCACGGACTCGGCGAAGCTGATGCAGGAAGCAGCTTCTGACTCGTCCACTCGCCCAAGCACCCCTGTCATGCCACCGCAGACCTGCAACGCGCAGAACGGCAACATCTGCAAGGACTCGTTCTTGGCTGGGAGCCCAGAGGACTTACTTCGCTGTGGTAACCAGGCTGGTCCCGATTCTGGGGGCGCGGGCAAGAGCAGCGCTCGGGCGGAGGCACTGCGGAGGGCGGAGATGATGGCCCGTTTCGACCACAGCTACGAACGTTCCGATCGCAAGCGCCGTAGCTGCAGGTTTTGACGAGCGGTGGTGGCTGGCGTTGCCGGGGAGGCGCAGATGTATGGAGATCGCCCTTGCAGTTTTCGTCGTCGGACGGTCCTCGACTGACTCAGTGGATTTTTTGTAAAAGCAAGTGGTGCCTCTGCTGCCCTTTGAATTGCTTTCCTCCTCCCTGTGAAGCCGTTCCCCAAACCATTCCTGCGGTGCATTCTGGCTAGAATTTCGGAGCGGATCCAGCCGTGGCGACGAGACGCTTTCCAAAAGCTCGAACAGGGGAAACACCTCGAGCCCTCGAACCTCGTCCTGGTCCTGCTCCACCGCCACGTGGCGAACTCTTTGATAAGTTGCGCGGCGACGCCGTTAGATTTTGTGGCATCCGCTGACTCACCCCGTGGCCTCCGTGCGCTGGCGAGCCACGAGCTCGTACGGCCGAGCTTCTCACCTGCCGCCACGGGCCGTGGGATGAAAAACCGCTGGCACTTGCGCAGGGTGACCAGTCGCATGCTGTAGAAGCTGGCGGCGCGCCAGAAGGGGAGGGCGGGGGGCGCAAGGGGGCCGGCCTTCTTAGAAGAAAGCAGGTGGTCTTCTCAGGAGGGTCCGAGTCCGCAGTGCTCTTCTGAGAGGGTCTCTGCGAATGCAGAACGGCTTCTGGGACCTCTCCCGGCCTGCCTCGAAGACCGCCCCCCAGGCCCCATTCCTCCTCGTGCGCGCCGCCAAGAAACGAGCAACGGCCCCGCCAACACGGCAGGCTCTCGGCAAGGGGGTGCGGTTGGGAACGCAGGATGTGAACCGAAGGAACAACAGTGCACAAACATACACGCTGGAGTTCCGCCCGGAGTTCTTGGATCGGCGCCGAAGTCGTCGCCAGGGCGGCGCAGCACCGATCCAAACCAGCCGTGCGGAGCCCCGAAAGCTTATGTTCGTGCACTTGTGGTTCTTCCTCGAGAGGAGCGCAGGGCGCGACCGAACAAGTAGGGGCCGCCGACGCGACGCTCTGCACTCCCATCCCCTTCGGCACCTGTTCGTTCCTGTCGGCCGGCGGTCTGACTTTGCAGCCAGTCACGCGCCGAACCTCAGCTAGCAGACAGGGGGGGGGTGCGCGTGCGGGCCGACATGTTCCTCCAGGTATCCGGGCTCGCCTCCAGGGGGACCAGGGGGGCATAGTCACGTCAAGTGAGGACCGAGGACGCAACAAAGCATAAACATAATCTTTCACAGCTCCCCGCGGATTTCTTGGATCTGCGCCGGACCCCCCTGGCGCGCCTCCGGCGCCGCCTCTGGCGCGCGGAGCGCACCAGAGAGTGAGGTCCAGCGCCGATCCAGGAAGTCCAGCGCGGACCTCCGAAAGTGTTTCATGAAGACAGGCAGGCACAGTACAGTGGAAACCCATGCCAACGAATACCCTGCTTCCCTCCAGGGTGTCCTGGGTTTCTTGGGTTTCGATGGTCTTGCTATGGAAAGCGTGACGTTCCCACACAAAACATGAAGGGACGTTCTGGGGTCTCAGGGTTGGGTTTCTTGTGGAAGGTTTCTTGTGGACTGGCCTCCACTATGCTCTCGTGAAGTCAGGCAGGCGCAGTAGGCACGTCAAGTAAGACGCCAGACTGCCAGCGGGTGCCCAACGGAAGTCTCGTATCCTCCGATGGTCCCGTGGACCCCCACATATGAGCGGCGAGACAGGGGGGGCAAGTGAGAAGGAGGAGGCCTTCTCCGGCGGGGCTTCTCGGAAGCCCTCCGGCCTTTTGAGAAGTGTTTGTTGCGCCTTCGGGGAGGGTTTGGGACGCTTCTCGGAAGGCCGGGGGAGTCTGCCAGCCTTCTGAGAAGGCCCGCCTCTTTTCCTTTTCCCCCCGTGCTCGCCGCAAAGTTTGGGTTCAGAATGGATTCGATGGGTCCTTCCGTGGCTGTCCCTGGAGCGTTCCTCGTCCACGCTGGCACTTTTGGGGCCAAGAAGGGGCTGAGGGGCTCGACGTTCCTTGGGCCCTTCCGTGGCCGTTCCTCTGGCGCTCCTCGCCCACGCCCGCCCCTGGCAGGCCTCGGAAAAAATAGCGAACACGCATGCCACATTCATCGGTCAACGCCTTCGCTTCCCCCTAATGTTTAAAGTCGGCGGCGGGTCGGATGGGTTCCACTTCGACGGCAGTCTCCCCCGCGCGTGCCAACTGTGAGTTTGGGGGAGCGGGGGAGTGCCCGCTTAATTGTTTCCCCCTACTCGCCGCCAACTTCGGGGACGCTCGGGGGGCACCTCGGGAAGCTCTCAGAGCTCGACGACGCACGTGGTCCAGGGCGCCCCCACCCTCCGCGGGGGGAAGCGGAGCGGCGAACGGCGACCGGGAAGTACCCGAGGCCCAGAGGTTGACACCAGCACCAACATCGGCGGTGTACATCCACCAAGGGAAGACTCGGAGGAGAAAAAGGTACACAATGTTCATTTCTAAGTCCTCGAAAGTTCTTTGATTTTCTGGGGGGCCAAGATCCTTTCATTTCTAATTGTTCTATCCAGGGCCTCTTCTTGGCCACTAAGGGCCAGGAACAATTAGAGACGAGCACAATTAGAAATGAGCACGATTAGAAATGAACGACGTGTACCCTTGCCTCGTTCTTCTCTTGTTGGGCCTCCTGGGAGGCCCTCATCGCCACCGGTACATTTTGGTCTCCCCAAAGATGATCCCGATCTTTGTGATGGTGGCAAAATTCGGGCTTCCTGGGCGACCGAAAGATGACCACCAACGCCAAGATCAGGGACCATCTTGCCCTGGTGGAGGCAACCCCTTGTTTCTGTGTGGGGGCCCGCCGACCCTTGCCGATAGAGGGGGAGGAGGAAGATGCGGAGGACTTGTGGTGTCCAAAACCCGGATAGTGGAGCGCCAGAGAGTCTTTGCGACATTCCTTCGGAGGAGCTCTCGAAGCTTTGGGAAGGAGCTGCTGGAAAGTTTGACGGCGCACGTGTGGGGAAACAGTTTGAAAAGTCCTGGGACACGCTGAAACGCTTAGCAACCCGCTTTGACGTCGACTTCCGGAAGCCGATAGAGGGTCGGGCTGGACGAAAGGGCAGGATATAGAAGGGGGTACGATTCTTGATACATGGGCGCCTCCCGGCGCCAGGAGGCGCCAGGAAAACCAGTTACGTAAGCTGATTCTCTACCCTGCCCGTTCGTGCCCCCCGAGAGGGGGAGGACGAAAAGGCGGAGGAAATGCGGGGAATAAGGAGTCACGCCCGCCGACAGAAGATCGGCGACAAACGTGCCTCTTGGCACTCATCCAGGATTCCCCATCGCAGGCGCCTCCTGTGTAGCGAACTGTCTCCGAGGCCCACCTCGGCTCTTGGACGCGTCCCTCTCCGCGAGGCCACCCCCCCGTTCCAGCTTGGCATCGCTCGGACGTGTAGGATTTGTTTTCTGGGGCAAGGACCATCGTGGAGCATTTTGCGCACGACTCCGACAGATGCACGGGGAATGGACGCCCGAGCGATGACAAGCCAGTGAAACGTGCAGTGCGAGTGCCGAGCGTGAAGCAGGGAGACGCGAGCGCAGAGCAGCGCGACGAGCTGCGATGCTCGAGTCACAAAAGAAGGCGCAAACGTACTGTGTCGGAGCTCCACGCGGGTTTCTGGGATAGGCGCCGTGCCCCCGCCCCGCCCCTGGCGGCGCCTTCAGCGTGGCCCCTGGCGCGCTCCGCGCGCCAGGGAGGCGGGACTGCACCTGCCCGTGGTGCTTCGGGCTCTCGGTGCGGAGGGGGCTCGACAACCGGCCCACCATCCCAAGAGGCGGGGGAGCCAGGGCAACCAGCACCGTGCAGGTTGACAGCGAGGCCAACAAAAAAGATGAGGGAGCGACGTCCAGGACCGGTTCAAGGCTTCCGAGGAGTTCTATGTGTGTTTTGGTTGGTTCCAAAGCAGGGCAGCGTGGCGCAGAGCACTGCCAGGCGAAGCCTGGCAGAGCAGTGCAGGCGTCTCGAGGCATGATGGCGCGATGTTGTCCTGCACGGGGCAATGCGCAGCCCAATGCGCTGCAAGGGGCAAATCGGATAATCTCGGGGCGAGCATAGTACACTCTTTTACAAAAGCGCAGAAGAGCAACCCATCAACCTATGATGAAGCAGCTCGCCACCCTCGTGTTCGTCTCGGCTTTGGCCCGTCTGTAGTCTTACACCTGGCTTGTCTACGGTATATCACTGATCGACGGAGAAGTCCAAGTTGGGGTCGCGCCAGGAGCATGCACAATAAGGCGTGCACGCGCCAATGCCACCCCACCCTGTCTGCCTTTAGGCCCTCCTCTTGCCCACACGGCATGGCCCGCTTTCGCCACTCCCACCCAAGAGGCCACATGGTGCCATTGAACAGCGGGCTGCGTTGAAGCCATGACCTTTTTCAGTGAGGGCGGCACTTGGGCATCTGCGCGCACACCTTGCGGACGTCGTGGCAGGATCCCATCCACGCTCGCAGGACAACGCCTTCTGCGTGCGTGTCGGCAGTCCTGCTGTTTTGTCATTCCGAGGCGGGGATTTAGCCACCGCCAACGCCTGGGGTATCGATGCTTGGGGACCTCGGTATGCGGTGGATGTGGATATCGTCGGGATATAGTGTATACACATATATATATACATATACACGCATACATCTATATCTCTACAACTATGTGAACCATCTGTACATACATACCGTGCACTTTGGCCTTTGCGGCTTGCCATGCAGACAGGAAGGACATATTGTAAAACGGGACAGTTCGCGAAATGTCGTTCTTGTCTTTTTGGGCATCGTCGTTGTAATAGTGTTATGCGTGATCCTTCCCTCATGTTTCCAGTTCCTATTCCCCATTCTCGCCCTACCCTGCGAAGTCGTCTCCTATCCTCAGCTTTTTTTTGTGGAGGCTCATCCTAGGAAAGCCTCTTGTAAGTCTCACGAAGGTGATCAAGTGCTTGTTGGGGCCTTCTGGAAGCCTCTGAATTCCTTCTGGGGGCCTCTGGGGGCTTCCCTGGGCCACCCTGCTTCCAACCGCGGTCTCCTTAACGACCGGGTCACGATTTGGAATGATTCGGGAGGCGTTTTGGGTCCATCTTGGGCCGTCATAGGGGCTCTCTTCGGGCCATCTTGGGGCCCTGTTGGGCCCTCTTGGGGCTCCTCAACATCTTGGTAAGTATGGGGCGATGCTCTGGCCTTGTGGGCGGTCTCGGACGCCCAGGAGACCGAAGAACTGAGCTTTTAAAAAAAAAAAAAAAAAAAAAAAAAAAATCATGCAGAAATCATCGGACATCAATGTATTTGGCATTCCGAATGCCTTTTGGGAGTCTTTTTGGGGTCGTGTTCGGGCGTCTGGTGGGTGTCTGGGGCCTCTGGGCTCTCGCGGGGCCGTCCGGCCGCCCTTCTGACCGATTTTGTTCTTTTGTTTGGGCCCAGCAGGGGGCTCAAGAGTCTCGGAAAGCACAGGGGACCGTCTGCAAGGGCGTCCAGGGTGCCCACAGCGCCAAGGATCTGGAGGGTTCCGTTTAGGGGGTGGGGTTCGTAGGGTCCCAGATTGTAGCGATAGGATAGGACGCCTCGCTCAGTTTTCTGGCTTTCCTCTTTTCCGCCTTTCCTCCTCCTCTGCCTCCCCCTCCTACTCCTCCTCCTCCTCCTCGTTCTCCTCCTCCTCCTCCTCCTCCTCCTCCTCCTCCTCCTCCTCCTGTTGCCCCGAGTTGCGCACTTGCAGCAGAGTGTCCGGCCGTTGTTCGTTGTCGTGTGGCAGTCGGCGATTTGCTTGGGGGCCTATCACTGTAAATGTTTGCCCCAGGCGCTGCCAATTACAAAATGGCAGGATCTCTTTGTGGGCGTTGACCCTGTAGGGTAATCCACAGGTGCCGCCGCAGCCGTGCTTTCCGTTTCCGCGTAGGGTTACTTAAGACATTTGTTTTTTTGTTGGGGGGGGCGCGCGCCGAGGAAATGTTAGTTAAGACCTGTTTTTCCTTGATGTCCGCATCTTCGGGTTGGCCGCGTAAGTCTGCTCCCCCCAAACAATGGAGAATGTATGTATATATGCAAATCCATCCATCCATACATACATAATTTGCATATACATACACTGTCTAGTTACCATGACCATACACTGATACACATCCACTTACATACATGTACACTTACAAATACATATACATACGGCTAAATCATACTCTACCTATACATATGCATATACATATATGTACACGCTATGGATTCGTATCTCTATACATACATATATATATATATGCAGATGCACTGGGGGGAGGACGAGCCGAGGAAAGAGAGGAGGGGAAGGGAGAGGAGGAGGAAACGGGAGGAGGGGAGACAACACAAAACCATTGAAGCGAATTACCCCTGCAAAGTAACAGTTCCAAGCTGGCTGGCCTGAGGCCCGAGTGCGCGACCAGCGGCGGTGCGCAGATACTAAAACGAATTGGAATCCCCGTGGAGCCACGCCCACGAGTACCACGACCAGGGAGCGGACGAGAGTGGCAAGGATAGGAGCGAGTGGGAAGAAGGGAAGGAGGAAGAACAATACGAGCCCACGCGGGGCCTTTTAAAATACAGAGCGGAGCAGACTTTGAGCCGGGGGGTGGCCCAGGACAGCCCCGCGGAGAAAACGGCGGAATGCTTCAGCCGTTCTGCACGGTGTACGGCGCGTACACGCCAAGTGCCCGGAGGGCTGCCGCCGACGCAAAGGCAGAGCCCCATTGTAGATGGGGCGGAAGGGGGGATGTGCAGGGGAGGACGCCCAAGGAATCCCTTGCTAGACACGCCGCCGGCGGGGCGCAGGAAAGGCCCAAATGTGTCTCTCTCACAAGCTAAGAAAGAACTGCATCAGCCAAAGTGCACCCCGCGGCGCCTTGGAAGCGCCGGGCCGTGCACCAGCCGTTCCAGGCCGTGCGCAGCTGGCAACGCCTGGGCACGAGGAGGTTGGGGAGGGGCAGGCAGGGAGAGGGAGTGAGTGACCCCATGCCTGCGGTCGGTGGCCTGGCAGGGTGGGCGAGCGCAAGCGATCGAGCTGCGAGCGCACGTGCGCCGCCGCGGAGTGGCGCGCAGCGCTCTTGAATTTCATGGCCGTGCGAGCCTGCCGGCCCTCCATTTTTCAGGGCGTCGGGACGGCGCGTCAAGGCGGGAGGGGGAGGCGCGCTGCGTGGCCTCGGCCCGCGTGGAGAGCCTCAGTGGCGGCCTCCAGGTGGAGGGTGGCGCAATCCTGGATGGGCGCCGCGCGGGCGCAGCTGCCGGGCAGCAGCGAGGTCCTCCGAAGGGCCTTCGCGCGCCGGCGGACTTCCAGCCCGCCGTGGGCCGAGGCAGTTCTCGAAGCGCGCCACGCGCGCCCGCGCCGCCGCCGCAGCGCTCAGCAGGTCAGGGAGGTCCCCAGGGAAGCGCAACGAAGTCAAATCCTTTAGGGCCTCCACCGTGACCCAGGCCGTCGAGCCGCGGAATAGAGCGGCGCAAGCCCGCTCTTCTTCTGGAGCGCAGGTCGGCGGCAGCGGCAGGAGCTGCACCACGAAGAGTAGTACGGAGGCCACGCAGGCCTGCAGGTACGCCAACATCGTCTGGAACATGCCGGCGCCCACGCCGCCCCAGTAACGCGCACGGGCCTGGCACTTTCCGGACTGGAGATGTCCGGGAACGGGCGCCCCTCCCTGGGCCCAGCCACATCCCCAAGGGCTTCGCCCTCTCGTCTATAGGGATGGCGCCCCAGAGCGGGGTTGCTTGCGCCACCCGCGCGCGAAGCTCGTCGCGGTTGAGCAGGAAGAGCGACACGAAGACTGTTTTGTGAATGTTCGGCTTGAGCCTAGAAAGCCTCCGATGCTTCTCGAAGACGTCCTGGTACGTCACAGCGTGCTGCATCGTGCGGGGGTCCACCAGGGCCGCATCGTCCGCGTGGCCGCGCAGGCAGGCCGGCGGCACCAGAAGCGGGATCCGGCGGAGCAGCAGATCGGACGCCACGGCAAACAGCAGAGGAGAGAGAGGGCGGCCTTGTCGAATGCCCCGTCGAAGCTCGAAGCCTGCGAGCCGAGCGCCACGGAGCACCATGGATCACATGTTGCGTGTGCACAACGCGGACAGGAAGCTCAATGGCCACGGGGGCTAGCCCAGCTCCCTAAAGATCTTGAGCATCGTCTCATGCTCCAGGGGGGGGGGAAGGCGGCGGCGAAGTCGACGAAGAGCGCCCCACCCTCTGCCTGCAGACATGCAGTCGTCGCCATGGCTTCTCCGATGCCGACGGCGTTGGCCAGATTGCTCAAGCCTCTCTGCATCCAAACGACCTTCGAACCCAGCGCGGACTTGATGAAATACCGGACCGCGTTGGCGAGCAGCCGATTGCTGGCACTTGTGACCAACAGGGGGCGGGTGTCTTCGGGCTCGAAATACACTTCCCCTAAAGGTAGAGTCCCTGGCGCCTTGGGACGGAGGAACAACGAGCTATCGTTGAAGGCAGCCAACTCCTCTTTCACGCGCATGCCATCTGGGTCGTCCACGGGGGCCCGCACGACGTCGGGCAACGTTCCGGCGGACAAGGACGGGCAGCGGCGCCAAGCTAAAAAGTTGATACCATCGGGGCCAGGGGCTGAGCTGTTGGAGTTCTTTCGGGGAAAAGAAATACTCGAGTAAGCCGGAACTCGGGTTTGCCGACGTTTTTTGGCGAGCGTGTCCTAGATCTTGACGCAGCAGCAGGAGCTCGCGTCAGATTTCCGATTGGGCCTCGTCATATTCAGGATAGCTTACTCGCAAAGTGCCTACGCGAAAACGTCCGAACAACAGCACATGTCTGCTTTGATGTAATTTATCGTAGACCCCTCGCGGCGGATCCAAGCCATTTGCGAGTAGTGACTTTGCGAGTAGTGGAACGCGCTCGTCTATTGATGGCGTGCGCAATGTGTCGTTTCTGAAGTCGCGGGAAGGCGGTGGCCCAGTCCTGACCGGCGCCAGGCGGCCCCCTGAACTCAGCGTCATCCTGCAGCCACCTATCCAGGAGAGCGGGATCGATTCCGCGCTGGGCGAAGACTTGGCTCCAGTGCTTCCGCAACTCCTCGGCCATCAGCGCTGGGTCTGTGAAGATCTGTCCGGACTTCGCTTGAACCGCAGGGAGTCCCATTGCTTTGCCGGGAGCAAGACGGTGAAGAAGGCGGAGGTTCTTCTGCCGCGTCTGGCACATTGGGCGGGAGTCCGTGCTGACCCGGTAAATGTAGGAATTCCGCAGATCGTCCAACGCATGCTCCTTGGCCAGCTCCACTGCGTGCTCCTTCACCCTGCGCAGTCGTTGGGACAGGTTGCCGCCGAGGTCGCAGGGGTTGTGGATCATCTCGTGGAGGACCGGGTAACACTCCAAACAGGAGGAGACGCTGCCTAGCCACCCATTCCCCACGCTCCTGATGAACTTCATCGTGACCCCCAGTCTGTCCTCTACGGCGGCGGCCTCTGGGGGCTTGCCCATTGAGAAGTCCGGGCTCTGGGAAGTGTTTCAGCTTGTCGTGATAGTCCAAGGCCAACAAACGCGGAACGTCATCATGTCGGAGCGCGCGATTTGGGAGGGGACGCTCTTGCGCAACGCCCGTTGAGGAGTGGAGAGAGAACCGAAGATGCCTCGATGTGCAGATCATTCCACGTGCCGTTCCAGGGCGGATGCACGAATCGAGCGGTCCAGTTGCTCAGAAGCGTGCAGGCGGGCCCCGGAACAGGCAGCCGCGTGCGTGGGCTCGCCTTAGGTAATACAGCTCGTGCAGGCCGTGGGGACGAGCCAGGACAGCTTGAAAGTGAGCTTCCTCGCCCAAGGCTCGACGGCCCGAGGGGGCCACCGTGGTGAGCGACGTGCGGTCGCCAGGGTCGGAGACGCAGTTGAAGCCGCCGCGCAATACGGTCAGGGGGGCCCTGTCCTTCGGGGCGATCCTGCCAGCCAAGCGGTTGCGCAGGTGCGCCCGCAGAGCTGCGAGGGTCGTCCTCCCCCTCGCTCTCCTCCTCCTCCTCCTCCTCCTCCTCACCCTCGCTTTCCTCCTCCTCCTCCTCCTCCTCCTCCTCGTCAGCTTCCGCGCGCGTTTGCAGGCCGACTGTCGCGACATGCTCGTTGCGTGCTGACGCGCCGAGGAAAAGTTACTTAAGACCAGCGTTTTGTCCTTGAGCTCGCGCCGCGGAAGGTACTCAAGACAGGCTTTTTTGGGGGGCACCGCCTGTGTGTGCGTGCGGATATATATATATATATATATATATATATATATACATACACCGCCTGCCAGGGACCGCAAAGCACGATCCCCCAGGCGATGGACCCCCCCCCCTGGCAGGCATGGCTGCGCGGCGCTGTGGTGGCGGTGAGAGGAAAACACCTGCCCGCGAGGTGGGCCGGGAAGCCACACGAACGGGGACCTTCGAGCGTACTCAGGGCGGCAAACCTCCGCCGTTGCGCGGGGCCTCCCATCAATCATAATCCTAGAACTTCTCACCCGAATCACACCATGGAGGCGTAGTTTGACTTAGGCCCCCGTCTTCGCATCGGGGCTGGACATGTATGGGCGGTCTGGTTTTTGTTGGCACATGTGCAAGGCAATCCCTAATGTCTGGGGCGTCCTGACGTTGGTCCCCTCCCGAAAGGGTGAAGGGGTCGGTGAGTCGGTAATCGTTTTTTCGAGCCCATCTGGCGAGGAGAGGCTGCTTGTCGAGGAATCCCTGCCGGCCAGTGTGGGCAGCCTGCTGCCCTCGGGCGTGTCGCACTGGGGGGCAAGAAAGAACGGGGGGGGATCGAGGGTTACAGGCAAGGGTTCCTATCAGGCGATCGCAAACACGTGGATTAGCGACGGGCCCCGCTTCCATGGGGAATCGCGGATTTCCGCCGCCGAACGAGGCGGCACTGGCCGCATGTTGGGGAGGGCACCTCCCCCGATCCATGGCTTTGGCGACCGCGCGCCAAATCCATGTATCGCTAATCTATGTTTGCGCGCCCCCGATCCGAAACTGGCCTTACAAAGGACCCCTGGGCTTCGTAATAGGAGCATCGAGGGCTACAGGAAAGGGGGCCTAGAGGGGTCCTGAATGGGGACCCCTGGGCTTCTTGCGCTGCAGCATCGAAGGTTACAGGAACGGGGCCCTGCAGGGGTCCTAAGGGGACCCTGGGGGCCCCGAGGGTGTACGAGCGGTGCACCTTTCGCCCCCCGCCCCCCGCATCTCCTATCGCAGCGCCCGGCGCCCTCGGACGCCCGGAGTGTTGCTCTGTGTGCCTGACCGCCGCCCTGACGCTGGCTTGGGGAGCGCTCCGGGCTCAAGACGAGGCCCTGGTGTCCGGACCGTCCCCCTGGCTTCGGTCGGGGAGCCCGTCTCGTGGCCGAGGTTCGCCGTGGCCAGGAGGTCTAGGCCTCCCAGGTGCGGCCGGAGCAGAGGGGGTCGGAGGATCGCGCCGCATCGCCGATGCATCGGCGATGCGGCTTGATGTAGAGCCCGATCTTCTCCACGCCGATGGCGCCGATGCTTCGCCGACGTCGCCGAGGCATCGCCGATGCGTCGGCGACGTATCGCCGATGCATCGCCGATGCGACGCGATCCTCCGGCCCCATCTGCGCGGACACCATCTAGGAAGCCTCTAGGAATACCCCTTCCCTGTTCAGCCGTCCTTGATGTAGCACGATGACTGCGCGGATGGAGCGGGGGAAGCGAGAGGCTTGCTGCGCTCGCGTCAGGGGCAGGCCTGGCTGCGCGGCGTGCCGGCCGTGCAGAGGTGGCTCTCCAACGCTCGTCCGCGCCCGCAGCCCGCCAGACGTCCCGTGCCGCCTCGCCCGACCTGGTGCCAACTTTTTGCAAGCCCTCGGGAGCCGCTCGGATGGCGTGCGGGCGCCACGCCGTCCTGGCGCTTCTGGGAGGCGGGCCTGTCGAGACGACGGCGGCCCTCCCTGGCGTGTTCCTGTCCTTCTTGGAGTTCTCTCGGGGGCCTGCCGTCTCCATGGCCGGGCACGCCTCGAGAAGCGGGTCAGGATGGACCCAAGGGGGTCGGAGGGGGGGATGTTGGTCGCCATTCGTCAAGGGAGGAAAAACCACCCGGACCGGACAATCGGCGGCCACTAAACGGCCTTGGGCGTTTATTAAGCAGCCCTGCCCTGTTCGATTCCTTCCTTGGGCGCGTTTATGAAACGCCGCGCGCGTCGGGCTGGTTCTTCTCGGGGTGGATTTTCTGCCCTCTGTTTCGGGGCCCGGCGGGAGAGCCGCCGTCGTGTCAGCCGGCCCTCCCCCCAGTGCGGGCGTCGCGTTGTCCTGGCGTGTCGCTGTGCTTCGTGCAGTGGCCACGGCAGGTCCGCGCAGTGTCGACGCGGCGGCCATCTGCGCGGGGTCGTCCAAGTTGGAGCACCGCCGGTAGCCCAGAGTCGGCCGGTATCGAACGATCCGCGGCCCAGTCAGGACGCTGAAGTAGGGACCATCTTGGGCTCAGGACGGCCTGTCAGATGAGGAGAGGGTGCCGATGCCGCTACCATTGTCTTGTTTTCGCCTTTTGGGACCGCCTCGGTTGCCCCCGTCGCCACCGCTGGAATCGCTTCGAAATTCTGGTCTGATCGAACGCACATTGGGTGAGGTCCAGGGAGTAGCGGTATCGGTACCCTCCGTAGACGCGCAAACGGTGTGTTAGCCAACGGCGAAGTAGGAAGTCCAATTGTAGGAAGGCGTGGTTCGTGGCTAAACCAATTGTGGGAACGCGTGGTTCGTGTGTTCCTACAACTTGCTGTGTTGTTTTCGTTCGATACATTTGCATATTTGAAATTTAGGAAACGGTGTTTCGTGGTTTCCTACATTTGGTTTTGCGTGAGCTCGGTGCCACAAAAACAAGATCCCCAACCGCACCGTTAACCAAGCTCTTCAGGTCTTGGTCGGATAATGTGTTCGTGGCCGATGCTCGCCGATGCCAGGAGACCCTTCGCGTTCATCTTTCAGCGTTCCTGATGGCAGCGTGAGGGCTGTATCAAAAAGCCGCGATCCTTCTGGGCTGAACGATCCAAGCGGTGTCAGAGGCTAGCGCCAACGTCGTCACGACGCGAACTTGTTGCACGCCTGGGTTACAGCATGCCACGGTTTCCGCGCTGCAGTGTACAAACGGAGGCATTTCGATTCACGACGAGGGCAGACCAAAAAACGGCCGCGCCCTCAGCAGGACTCTGAGGCGGGGGTGGTCCTCGATGCAGGCGAGAGAGGGCCAGTGTGACCCTCTGCGATCATCGGAGAAGAACACACGGCATAAACGCAAACTTTCAGAGGTCCGCGCGGATTACTTTAATCCAGAGCGGACCGACCCAAGAAAAATCCGCGCGGGCTCCCGAACGTGTACGTTTATGTTGTTTTGTTGTGCCCATCGCTCTTTTATTATTCCTTGAATCCCTAGAGCCCTACGGCAAAATACCGGGACATCATGAGCGCTCAACAGGCCCTCGAAGCTACCTGCCATCCAGGCCGATCTGCGAATATCGTGCCGGGAATTTCGCCCAGGCTACCCTCCGATGCTCCGTCAGTGTGGAGCCCATGACCAAGGTTCCTTCTTCGCCCAGGTCTTCCTCCATTCTCCTCCGTATAGGTTCGAGAAGATGTTGGCTTGCCATGGGTACGCTCGAGCACATAAACGCCTCAAGACCGCCACTCGGAGACCGTACAATTTGTATTAGCACCAGGTTCGTCGGTGGAGGTGAGACGATCCCAATCTCGGTGATAGGGGTAGCACCCGTGCTTCTTGGGATGCCAGACGATCACAACCAGCACTCAAATTTAGGATCATTCTCCCCCAATAGAGGCGCCTCCCCTGTGTTAGTGTTTGTACAAATTGCCAGGCCTCCAACTCAGCCCTCGTCAAACCGGTTCGGACAACATGCTTTATCTCCGTCCTCTCATTCAATTGCCGCTTCCCTTACCTCCTGCTTCATGGCTTCACTCCTGATCACTCTTCCTCTCTGATCCCTCATCGCTCCACCTCCGTATCCGCTTTTCCTCCTCACGTATCCTCCTCTCCCTCCGCCCTCCTCCCAGAGCCCATCATTATTTGTTCTGAGCAAGCACCATATCCTATACACATGCGTGTGTTATCGCCCCCCGCATGTTCACATACACATGTATCGATGTATATTTGTAGATGTCAGAGCGAGGGGGCCGAACGCTCATTCATTGTCCCTGGGTGCGTGGCTGCAGCGAAAATCCGTGGTGAGGATTATGTCTGTTGCGTTGTTGTTGTGTTTGTTGTAATTATTGTTGTCGTCGTCGTCGTCGTTGTTGTTGTTGTTTTTGTTGTTGTCGTCGTCGTCGTCGTTGTTGTTGTTGTTGTTGTTGGTGTTGTTGATGTTGTTATTGCTGTTGTTGTCCCTGCCCAGACCCCCCCGCGACCCCCCCCCGCGACCCCCCCGCGACCCACCCCGCGACCCACCCGCGACCCACCCCGCGACCCACCCGCGACCCACCCCGCGACCCACCGACGACCCACCCCGCGACCCACCCGCGACCCACCCCGCGAGCCACCCGCGACCCACCCCGCGACCCATCCGCGACCCACTCGCGACCCACTTGCGACCCACCCGCGACCCACCCCGCGATCCACCCGCCACCCACCCGCGACCGATCTACATTGGTTTGAAAATGTCGGCGCCTGCGGCGGGCTCGTTGCATCATTTGCGGAACTGTGGCGCCTGCGGCGGGCTTCTTCAGGGTCTCGCAGAATGTCGACGTCCCCACCGCCCCCTAAGTCTTGTCTGCATCTGCGGGGTGCTACGTTTATATATATATATATATACACGTATATGTGTGTGTGTGTGTGATCCTGGGCTTTGGGCCCACGCCAACCCCCCCCCCCCCAGATTGGATGGGTCTCAGGTTCCGTCGGGCCCCCTCCTCCCCCCCAGATGGGATGGGGGCGGACGTCGACGACGACGACGAAGACACCGTCCGCTCCAGCTCCGTGAAGCATCGCAACACCACGCCACACCCAGAGGGAGGCGACGATGGGGAAGACATCTTCTCTCTCTCTCTCTGGTCATGCCCAAAGCGGCGATGCATGCGCCGATGCCGATGCCGACGCCGATGTCGTCGCCCCCCTCCTCCTCGTCCTCCTCCTCCTCCTGCTTGTTCTCTGCGCTGGGCTCCTCCTCCTGCTGAGGAGGGCCCGATCACCACCACCGCCACCCACCACCCCACACCCACGGGGGCGGGGGGGGAGAGGGCCCGACCCCATGCCCACCATCGCACGCCCAACAGGGGAAGGCCCCACCGCGCCACGCTCACAGGCGGAGGGGGGTCCCATCGCGCGGGAGCGCGGGGGCCCGATGGCACCAGCAGGAAGGGGGGCGGGTGGCGGACCCTGGACCATATATCCTCCCTCCCTCTCTTCGCTTCCTTCTCCCGGTCCTCATCGCCCCTCTTCCCCTACACTCTCCACCCTGCACCACCCTCCATCGTCCTCGCTTCGTTCCTCTTTTTCCTCCCTCCTTCCTCCCTCCCTCCTATGCACCTCGCTCCTCCGTCCTCTATACTCGCTCATCTCTCCTTCACACCATTCCCCCCTTCATCATTCCTACATTCGTCTTCCATGCCTCCTTCTCGCCGTCTCCCTCTTCCTTCCTCCCTCCACCCGCCTCCACTGTCCTACCCATCCATCCCTGCCCCTGCATCCCGTCCTCCCCCCTCCATCGTCATCCTCCCCATCCCTTCTCCCTCTTCTTTCTTTTCTCCTCCCCCCGTCCCTCTTGCGCTCTCTCCTCTCGCACGTCTTCCTCCAATCCTTCTCCACTCCTCTCTCTTCCCTCCCTCGCCCCCTTGCGCCCATGAGAGCATCTGAGGCCACGTTGGACGTATAAAGTCCAAACCACGCTCCCGAAGCATCTGCATCTGAAACAATGTTGCGAGCCGCCCCGAGAGCGCCTGGAAACGCCCGCGAGCGCCCGTGAAGCCGGGCCCTGGGACACTCAGCACAGGGAAGTCGAAGGGACTTCAGGACACTCCTCTCGGCTCCGTCTCTTTCGCCCTCCGTAGTTGTCTGGTCTGTCTCCATGTCTCTCATATATATGTATAGATATATAGGTGTCTATGTATTTGTCTCTCTCTCTATTTCTCTGTTGCTATGGTTTGTGTCCTCTCTGTCTTTCTTTGCTTTACCTCTCTCTCTCTCCCCCTCTGTATATACATGTGTATTGGTATATGCGGTTTGCAAGGATGTGATTCCCGTGCTCTTCCGCTCTCTCTCTCTCTCTCTGTTTCCCTCGTTATTTCTCTCTATATATATATGTATATGTATAGATCGCTCTCTCTCTCTCTCTCTCTCTCCCTCTCTCCCTCTCTCTTCCGCACTCCCTACGTATTGCGTGTATATATATACATAAACATACTATCTCTGTGTTTCCCTCTCTGTTCCTTTTCTCTCTCTCTCCCTCTCTCTCTCTCTCTCCTTCTCCCCCTCCCTCCCTGGAGCGCCACGTGCAACTGCCACAAACAGGCCATCGGGGGCGGAGGCGGCCAAGGTGGACGGGGACGGGGGCACGGGAGAATCCTGGACGCGCCGCCCCGCCTCGAGGGACTACCTGTTCCTGATCTACAAGCTCGCCGTGATCATGGTGCTGCTGTGCTCAGTATTCTCCGACCTCAAGGAGACGGTGCTTACCCACATCCGAAGTGGTTTTCTTGTTTCCTCTAGCCCCCTCCCCGCGCAGGAACGAGCACCTCACCCCCTCCCCTGCTCTGTGCATCACGCACTCACGCATCCATCATCGCCATCACCATCACCATCATTACCATCGTTATCATCACTATCATCGGCATCATCAGCATCATCAGCATCATCAGACTCATCTTCATCATCTTCTCCATCATCATCATCATCGTCATCATCATCGTCATCATCATCATCATCATCATCATCATCATCATCATCATCATCATCATCATCATCATCATCATCATCATCATCATCATCATCATCTTCATCTTCACCTTCATATTCATCATTCTCTTCATCAACATCATCACCATCATCACCAGCATCACCACCAACAGCAGCAACCTCATCACCACCAGGATCGCCAGCATCAGTAGCAGCATCATCAAGATCATCGATCGTTTACCATCTACCATCACACGATCGTCATCACCATCGCAGACATGCACACACACGCGCTCTCACTCGATCATTCACGCGCTCAAGCACCCATACGGAGGAGGTCTCGAGCGTGAGCCTCGTCTGTTCGGGCCCGGATTGCCGCGAAGGAGAGGCGCGCCGAAGCGGCGGCCGTCTCACCAGGGTGCCACACCTGAGCCGTGTGGCGTGCTCGTGAATCCAGGCCTAGGCAGCGCCCTCTGTGGGGCCGCAGCGCGCGCTGTCTTTTGCGCCCTTGACCAAAAAATGAGCCTCGTCTGTGTGGTGATGGCTGTCGAGCGGGAGCCCCCCTTCCTCTGGGGCCCGCAGATCACGTTATTCACTTGAGCGGGTCATCGCAAAGCTCCACCAGGCATAGCACTTGAAAGCCCAAAGGAGGCACATCGTGAGGATGTCTCGAGCGGGGGCCTCGGTTGCGAGTGAATCGCGGGGCAGTCTCGAGCGGGGAGCGGGAGCCCCGTCCCTATGGGGCCGCTCCTCACGTTACTATTCCAAGGCGGCGATCGGAACATTTCGCCAGGCATAGCACTTGAGCGCCCCAAGGGGGAAAATCGTGAGGATCTCTCGAGGGGGGGGCCGCATCTGTAGCGAATCGCGAGGAAGTCTCGAGCGGGAGCCCCGTCCCTGTGGGGCCCGCACGTCATGTTATCAATCCGATCGGCTCATCGGATAGTCTCACCAGGCGTAGCACTTGAGTGCCCGAGTGCCCCAATGGAGGCTGATCGTAAGGATGTCTCCGGCGGGGGCCTCGTCTGCGAGCGAATCGCGAGGAAGTCTCGAGCGGGAGACCCCTCCCTATGGGGCCCGCTTTTCATGTTACCAATCCGAGGCGGCCATTTGGGATACCTGGGAAAACAGGGTGTTCAAACTTGGCAACCTGAATCTCGAGAAGGTTGTGAGCGGGAGCACTATCCCCATTTGGCCCACACTTCACGATACCAATCCAAGGCGGCTATTGGGGTACCTGTGCAAACACAGGAGTTGTCAAACTTGACAATCCGAACCTCGAGGGAGTCTCGAGCGGGAGACCCACTGGCCCCATTGGCCCCACGGTTCCCACAGGTCCCACAGGGCCCACAGGTCCCAAGGGTCCCGCAGGTCGCACAAGTCCCACGGGTCGCCTTGGTCTCACGAGTCTCACAGGTCCCACCGGTCCCACAGGTCGCACAGGTCCCACAAGTTCCACAGGTGCCACAAGCCCCACAGGTGCCACAGGTCTTACAGGCACCGCAGGTTCCTGGTACCAAATGTCCTACAGGGTTCGCAAGTCCCACAGGTCCCAAAGACCCCACAGGTCCAACTGTCCCCACAGGCCGCACAAGTTCCACGGGCCCCACCGATCTCGCAGTTCCCGCAGGACCCACATGTCCCACAAGTTCCAGGGGCCCCACTGGACCCACAGGTCCAACAGGGCCCGCAGGTCCCCCAGGTCCCACAGGTCTAACAGGTCCCGTAGGCGCAACAGGGCCCACTGGTCCCAAAAGCCTCACAGGTTGCACAAGTCCCAAAGGTGTCCTTGGTCCCACCACAAGGCGCACAGGTCGCACATGTCCCACAGGCCCCACAGGGCCCACCGGTCCCAAAGGCCCCGCAGGTCGCACAAGTCCCACAGGTCTCGTTGGTCTCACAAATTTCACAGATCCCACTGGTCCCACAGGTCGCACAAATCCCACAAGTCCGCCAGGCGCCACAAGTCCCACTGGTGCCACAGGCCCCACCTACAGGCACCGCAGGTTCCTGGTCTCAAACGTCCGTCAGGGCTCGCGAGTCCCACAAACCCCAAAGACCTCACATGTCCAGCAAACCTCTCAGGCCGTACACGTCCCACGGGCCCCACAGATCTCACAGCACTCACAGGCCCCAGATGTCCCATAAATCGCAGGGGCCCACTGGTCCCACAGGTCCCCCAGGCCCCGCAGGTCTTAGAGGTCCCGCAGGCGCCACAGGTCGCACATCCCTCGCAGGTCGCACAGGTCCCATAGGTCGCACAAGTTTCACATGTCCAGCTGGTCTCAAAGGCCCCACGGGCACAACAGGTCTCAACGGCCTCACAGGTCGCGTCCTGGTATCCTGTGCGCTGAAGGTCATCATGCGGGGTCCTTTCATCGGAGCCTGTTTTATCCCGTGGCGACAACGGGCGGGGACTGGAGGGGAGGGCCCAGATACCAACATCAATGATTTCCAGAAAGCTTTTGAAGGACCTTGTCGCTCTCGGCTTTTTGGGCTTCCGACGGCCCAAGATGGTCCAAGAGGCTTTCAAGATGGACCATTGAATACACCAGGAGAGCCCCAAGACAACCCCAGAGGCTCCCATGTCGGCCCCATGCTGGCCGGGGCTGGTCACGTCACGAGTCGCGCCGGCGCCGTCTGGGAATGGTCAGGAATGCCTAATTCCCAGACGGCGCTGGCCCGCATCGTGACGCGACCAGGGAGGGAGGCGGGGGGCGGGGCCAGTCACGGGCGTCATCGCGAATAATAAAAGGACGGATTCAAGGTCACCGAGTCGCATCCCGCCCCGATCGTCCGTTCTGCGGTCTTATCTCTTTCAGCTGGGATTCTGCACGCGCTCATTGTTTTCTCAGGTCCAGAGACAGCACGTAGCCTGGTTTCTATCATTGGGGCGTAGTGGTCGAAGTTGTGTCCGAAAATTTGCCCGAGCGTGACCGGAAGCGGCGACCGAATTTTCGTTGGGGTCGATCCCAATACAGTTTTCAATTTCGGTCGCAAGGTCGGTCGCATGTTGTTTTCGGTGTCAATTTCTGGCCTGTTTTCGGTCACCGTGGTTCTGTCGTTCACAGACTTTCTCGGTTGATGGGGGCTGGCGCCATAGCACATAGTGTGCATTGCATCGCAGGTTGCCCTGTTTATCATTCATTCGCTTGTGTCGGCTTACATTCATTTTTTCAAATTCTAACTGGGGCAATACTCGCGCCCCCTTGGATCCGCTGGTGTAGGGGGGGTCTGGGCACGTGCTGTCGGAACGGGTAGGGGGGGGTGGAGGAGGAGAGTTAGAAGGGTGAGGAGGAGAAGGAGGAGGAGAAGAGTAGGAGGGGAGGAGGCGTAGGAGAGGAGGCGGGAGTATGGGGGTGATGGGCAAGCTCCCTCGGAAGGTCCATCGCTCCCCACCCCTCGATACACATTCCAACTCATAAGAGGCTCTATCGGTGTGTCCGCCGGATGCTCCGTGCGTGCATCATGTTCGTTGCCAGGCGCTGCAGTTACTCCTGCGTAAGAGGTTGCGCCTGCTCCATCGTATCTTGCCGAGTTCAGTCATCCTTTTGATTGCGTGTGTCAGGGACCTTAAATTCTACCACCGTTCGCGCAATAAACGCCCACCAGCAAGCGTACCGAAAGGCCCCCCCCCGACACCCCGCATTTCAAAGTTGGCGGGAGATCGCGCTGGAAGGGAGGGCGCAGGAAAGGCTCACTCTTGGGAGGGGCACGTCGCTTCCCCATCAACCTTGAAATGCGGGTGCGAAGGGGACACGTTTCAATGTCGCGTTGCCTAAACCCGACGTTGGGTCTTCCCATTCATGTGCAGACAATGTCCTCACACATGGTTTTCCCATTCTGGCCTAGTCGGTACCTCATCGTGTGACAGCTCCAAGAAAATGGGCGCGCCCCCATGTGAGCTAGATGCGGGGACTCTCAGGAGTTGGTTGACTTCGTGCCCTCGCGTTCGCCCCTTCGAGTGCCGCCGTCGTTGAGGCTGGATACTCCCGTGCCGCGCGGCGTGTCACCCAATTTTGTCTTCGTCCTGGCTTCGTCCTAGGCGAACGGAGAAGCGAGACGTTCCCGAGAGCCGCGGGATCTCAAAGATTCTCGATCAATCTTCACCCGATGTTATGCTCTCCCTGGCTTCGTCGTAGGAGGAGACGGATCCTGGCGCAGAGGATCCCAGTGTGCTCTGGCAGCCTTAGGCCGCCGCGCAAGCCAGTGCGAAACCCGGAACGGCAGCAGGGCCCCGCCGGGCACAAGACAGGGGCAGCTGCTTCCTTCCGTATCGTTGCTGCGGGCCCAGGTATCCGACGAAATGTTTTTCGGAGGAGGTTTCTTAGTGCTGCCACGGTACCTGCTGCCCCGGCTGGCCGCTCCGGCCTGCTCCTATGAGGAACCTTTCCAATCCACGTCTGAGCGCTGTCCTTTTCCCTTCCCCCTCCTCTCCGCGCGGCCGCCCTCGTCTTCTTCCTCCCATTTGCACGCCAGACAATACGCCCTTCGGTTGCCCCGAATAGCCACACGCTGGAGCTAACTGCCTCTGCCTCGCCGCCGACGAAAGTTCTTCGGAGGGGGAGGAGGAAGAGGTACCCATTGTGCCAGAAGACCGATGGCGTTAAATTCGCGCACCGAGCGCAGAATCTCTTATTTCCGTTATTTTGACCGCGTTCATTTGCCAGCGCCAGGGGCGCTGTAGGCTGTGCCGGAGGACAGAAAAAGGTACCCATGCCGCTACCTTTCCCTCGTCTTCCTGTCTGGTGGCCCTCCCGGGAGGCCCTCGCCGCCACCGCCGGACTCGCCTCGAGATGCTGGGGCAGGACGCGCCTGGAGAGGTCTGGGGAGCAGCGGTATCGGTACCTTTTGGCTTCCTGTTTGTGTCAAGTGCGGCGTTCTTCCTTGAGTTCGGCCTCAGTGGCTTGGGCCTCGCGTGATCGGGGGACGATGAATGGAAGGGCAGCGGGGGCTGTAAAAGAAGGGGCCCTCTGGGGCCCCGCACGGGGCCCTTCAGGGCCCAACGAGGGGGCCTTGAGGGCCCGAAAAGTAAACCTTCCTTCCCCCCGCGTTTATCGCCCTCCCAGTGAGCGGCGCCCACGTTCCAGAACGCTCTCAGAGCGCTCGTGAACGTTCTGGCGGCGCCCGATACAGCCTCCAGAACCGCCAGGTCTCAGAGATCCCCGATCTCTCCCGATCTGATGTTGTTTCGATCCTGGCTTAGTCTCATCACGCGCCCTCCGCAAATCGTGGAAACCCACCTTTCGCACCCCATCAAGCGACGCCGAAGCGGCCCCTCGTCGGGCCTTGGGGCATTGCAGCCATGGATAAGGGGAAGAGGCGCTGCCCCCCCGGGAATGGGGTCGGGACCTTGGGGCCGCGAGATGAAACAAGTCGAGTACGGCCGGACCGAGGGATAATATCGAGGTCGGATCGGGGAGGGTACCCTAGTGTTCTTCGTGCTTGCTGGGTGTTTTTCTGCACCCTTGGCAGGGTACCCTAGGATGTTCTGCGTGTGTTTTACCCGGCGGAGGGTGTCATATGTTTGAAGGATGTTCTTCTGCCCGAGGTCCTACGGTATGGGGATCGACTACATCGTCGATTCACCTCAACATTCAATGTTTCATCGGATCCATGAAGCATGCAGATAATGCTCCTAGATCGACGGAACAGTCTCCTCTTTTGTAGATCTGACGGAGCTAATCAATTCTGCATGATCAACTCTGCATTCGGCACCCCTGCTCGCGGCGAAATGCACTTCTCGGCGACTTCCAGAGGGAACGACGGAGCACACCTCGGAGGGTCGGTGCGCTCCAGAGCCCGATCTTCTCCACCCGGCCGTCTCCAACGCATCGCCGCCGCGGCCCCACGTGGGAGGCCTCCGGGCAGAACGACGACGACGACGACGACGACGACGACGGCAACGGTTAGAGCGACGGCGAGGAGCGGGATTTGGTGTTCGGGGTCGGAGCGCGCGCGCGTGCACAGGAGATTATCCCGCAGGCGACCTTCGTGGCGGCCTTCCCCTCCGCGGAGGCGCTGGAGCGGCGGGGCGAGGCGTCGATCGAGGAGGGGGCGGGGCCCATGACAGGCAGAGGAGGATACAGGTACCGATACCTGGAGGAGGAGGAGGAGGAGGAGGAGGAGGAGGGGGAGGAGGAGGAGGAGGAGGAGGAGGAGGAGGAGGAGGAGGGAGGAGGAGGGCCGATACCCCGCTACCCTGCCCTCGTTTTCCCCTTTGTGGGGCCTTCTGGGAGGCCCTCGTCGCCACGGCTGGATTTCGCCCGGAAATTCTGGCAGAGCGTGCCCCAAAGGTGAGCGTGTTTTTTCGTCCTCCCCAGGGTAACGCTCGCTACCCGGGCCAACCCTCCCCCGCCCGGGTAACGCCAACAATCGTAGTCGGGGTGGTGGCCTGGACCCCCCCACACTACATGCTGTGATGCACACAGGCGATTGTTGCGCCAGTTGCGCGGACGCACCCTGGCGGGTGCACGCCGCGGCAACCGTTACCGTCACCCTCCCGCCCGAATCCCCCCCCCCGGGTAACGACCGTTACGCGGGAAAGAAAGAAAAACGGTCACAAGGTGGGTCTGGAGAGTAGTCCCGGGCATGATCCACGTCCATGGCTGTCGGCGGCCGGGTTAGGCGAGAGAAGGGGGCCCCACCGCCAGCACACGCTACTGGGGCACCACAGCGTGAGGGTGTCGCCCAGTGTGAGAGGGCGACCGTTGTGCACTGCAAGCACATCTGCACCATGAGCGTCTCTCCCTCCATTGCCATGGGATCACGGCGACCATTATTGTGGATCCCGTTCAATTGTTTTTTACGAATGAAGCCGCGGCGCCCGTCACGCGTCTCGAACGTTGTTAGCGTTGAGCCCCGCCCCGCGGTTGCGCGCGGTCCCTCTATGCATACATGCGGAGGAGCATATGCATACATGCGTATCTATACACATGCAAGACTGTATTGTCGCTTCGCGACGTGCACCTTGTTCTGGACGCTTCCCCGAAACACATATATGTGATCGCTTGCTTTTGCAGGGGGGGTCTCGAGGTCTAGACGTCCCTCTTTGGAGGAAGTAGGGAGCAAAATTCCGTCCGTCTAGTCATCCGCCGCCTCTTGGGTTGCATCCATACCCGTTCCTTCCTCACTGTCAGATTCTTTCGCTGCTTCTCGTCGTCCTCCTCCTCCGTTGTTTCCGCTCCTCCTGCGGGAAAACAGGAAGCGCCCGAACGCGTTCGTGGAGAACTCGAGCGATTCCGGTGTCACGCCGACGAATTCGCAGAAGCTTCGAGCAGGCTCGAACTGCGGGCCCTTTCTGATTGGTGGGCGTTCCTGGAGCCTCTGGAGGCTTCCAGGGCGCTTTTGGGGACGGCCTCCGCAGGCCCTCTGGGACCACCTGCCTGCCAACCGCGGGACCGTCTTGGGGCCTTCTGGGGGCGTGCTCGGAGCCATCTTCGAGCTGTGTGGGCCCTTGTTGGGGGCCCCTGTGGACTGTCTGGGCCCGCGTCTGGGTGAGCTGGAGACGATGGGGATGACAAGACCCCGTCGTGGGCCGATTCGGGGCTGTCGTGACCCGCTTCGGCGGCAATGTGCGCGCTGCGCGGGCCGATCATGAGCCCGCAAGACTGCGGACCAGAGGCGTGCTGGGTGTCTCGGGGCGTCCCTTAGAACATCTTTCGGGAACCAGTCCAGGACCTTCGAAGAGGCGTCCAGGAGGCTCTGGGTGCCTCCTGGAGGTATTTTGAGGGCGCGCCTTGGGCCTCCCGCGGGCGCCCTGTAGAGTCTTGGGGCCATCGTTCGGAACATAGTGGGGTGAGTCAGGGGCGGGAGCCTTGACATGTGAGCTCGACTCTTCTCTCCCGTAGCCTTTCGGGACCTTGTTTGTGATTTATTTGGAGCGTATGTTGCTACCTTCGGACCGGCTTGGAGCCCTTTTGGCATGTCATGGGGCCGTCTTAAGGGGATCTCTTGGGTCGGCGTGGGGCGATCTCTGGGGCCCCTTGGGTGGTCAACGACGGCGCTCCGTCCGCAAATGCGAAAGCGATGAATCTGTGCGTTCTTCCGAAGGAATGGGAAGAGTTTTTCTTCGTGAGGGTTTGGCAGTTTTCACATTCTGCGTTTGGTTGGGTTCCTACAGTTTTCTGTGGGTCGTCGTCGGGCGTTTTGGGGGGATGTCTGGGGCCGCATGGGGCCTTCGTGGGTGTATCTGGCCGCCTGCCAGACGGTTTCGGGCCCGTTGGTTCTGCTCGGCTGGGGCCCCCGGGACCTTCCGAAAGGGAGCCCGGGGAGTTCCTGGGGCCAGGGATCTGGGGGTCCGTGTTCGAGGGGGCTCCGGTAATCAAATGAGAGCCAGCCCTGACCCCAAACAGTGTGTTCTAGCATACAACGTGGTACCGCTCTTGTGGTGCAATCTATGTGGTGCAAATCACTTGCCGAACTTGAAGTTGACAACTCCACTGCTCGCGCAATCATCCCACCCACCCACCCGCAACTTGGTTTGCAAAACGCTTGCGGGAGCGGTTGCGATGAGTGCTGGGTGTTTGCTGGTGCATCTCTGCGGCCGCGCTACCACGCGCATGCTCGCGCGCGCAGCGGCCAGCTAGCTTGGCGCGACCGACGCGAATGCGGTGGCGCTGACCGCTCGGCACATCCCAGCGGGCGCTTCCGTGCGAGTCGGCGACTTGCCGGGCGCGGTATCATGGCAACGTCGACGACGGTAGACACGATGATGACAGTAGCGATGTGGGTGACGATGCTGACAGCGACGACGGGGCAGCCAGTGACGGCGACGATGCTGATCACGCCAACGACGATGATGGCGTCTTCGCGTCGGTGATGAAGGTTTTGGAAGGAGTTCGAAATGCGCGCGTGGCAGACGCGCGAGAGTGGCCCGCACGGTATTGTTCGACACGGATAGTGCCACCCCAGCAAGCGCGCAAGGGCTTTCGAACGATTTCGACATGCGGGCGCGCGAAGCCCGTTCGGTGGAATTCTATGAGAATTGTGAACACATCATGGTTTTCTTAAGAACTCGCAAGAGCGCGCGCGCAAGTTTTTTATTGGGAGGAAACCTGTGTTGCGAAACCGTGTGCGTTGTATATGTGTTTTGGACACTCGATTCTGGAATCCTTACGAAACCGACGGCTTTTGAAGGATTGCGGCATGCGCGCGCGACGACGCGCGTGCGCGTGCATTTCGGTTCGCTTTCTGCGAAGGATTATTGGGAAGTTGTGTTTTTTCGGTAAACGAGTGCGCGCGCATAGTTTTTTTTGCAGAGGCTGGCGCGGTGGGGGGTCATATTTAGGATGGACGATGGGGCAGAATCGCGCGTGCACTGGAATGCGAAAACGGGGCGATAATCCCGGGGGTAGAATTTTCATAAGCGAGTAGATACGATACATTCCACGCCCTTGCAAACATCCCGCCCACCCACCCGCAACATATTTTGCAGAATCCACGCGGCGGCGATTGCGACGGGCGCTCGGCGTTAGCCGGTGCATCTCTGCGGCCGCGCCGACCCAAGCGCGCGTAGCGGCCAGCTGGTTTGGCTCAACCGACGCGGCCGCGATGGCGCTGACCGCCGGGCACATGCCAGCGGGCGCTTCAGTGCGAGTCGGCGACTTGGGCGGGCGCGGCACCAGTCAACGTTGGCAGCGGTAGACACGACGATGATCGCAGCGGCGTTGGTGGCGATGATGACAGCGGCGGCGGCGCGGCCAGTGACGGCGCCGATGCTGATTGACGATGGTAGCGTCCTCGCGTCGGCGATGAAGGCGCCTGAAGGAGTTCGACATGCGCGCGCCGCCGACGCGCGAGAGTGGCCCGCGTGGAATTAATTATTCGACGCGGATCGCGCCCCCAGGCACGCGCGCAAGGGCGCGCGAAGATTTGGGCGCGCGGCGCGAGAGGCCCGTTTGGCAGCTTTCCCCGACAATGTTGAAACATGTTTGGTTTCTGTAGAATTTGCAAGTTCGCGAGCGCGAGCTTTCTTTGAAATTTGACGTTGCGAAACCATGTGTTTTGTTTGTGTGTTTGACATTCGATTTTGAGCTCGCTGCAAAACTACAGGTTTCTGACGGATTGCGGCGTGCGCTCGCGACGACGCGCGCGCGTGCACTTCGCCCCGTTTGTTCCAAAGGACTCTCGCGACAGCGCGCGCGCAGGGGCGCTCGAACGATTTCGACATGCTTGCGCGCGAATCATTTTTGGAAGCACTGCTATGAAAGCATTGAAACAACAAATGGTTTTCTGGGCGAATTCGCAAGAGCGCGAGCGCGCGCTGTTTCAAGAAAGCCCGCGTTGCGAAACCATGCGGTTTGAATGCTTCTTGCGCTGGGTTTTGGAATCTTTGCGACGCCAAGCGTTTGTTGAAGGATTATGGCATGCGCGCGCGACGACGCGCGCGCGCACTTCATCGCATGTGTTGCATGGGGTTCTTGAGAACTTATGATAGTAGATAAACGAATGCGCGCACATCGCGTTACGTTGCAGAGGACGGCGGAGGGGGGGGGCTGGCCCGCCCTGGATGGCACGAATTAATTTGGAAATGAGCAAGAGGACATTATCATATAAGTTATAGCGCGCGGGGCTTAGTGCATGCTCCCGGCGGCGTGGTGGGATAGAATCTAAGATGTGTTAAGAGAGGAGAACGATTTTCTGTTCATTGTGAAACGTCAGTTCCACTGCTCGCGCAATCATCGCGCCCGCCCACCCGCAACTTGGTCTGCGCAACCCATGTGGCGGCCATTGCGATGAGCGCATGGCTTTGGCTGGTGCATCTCCGCGGCCGCGCTTGCCCGCTCGCGCGCGCAGCGGCCAAGTAGTTTGGCGCGAGCGGCGCGGCCGCGGCGGCGCTGACCGCGTGGCGCATCCCAGCGGGCACTTCAGCGCGAGTCGGCGGCCTGGGCTGGCGCGGCATCATGGCAGCGCCGGCAACGGTAGACGCGACGACGATGATTGTCGCGGCGTTGACGACGATGATGACGGCGGCGACAGCGCGGCCAGCGACGGCGCCGATGCTGATCATGCCGACGACGACGACAGCGACCTCGCGCCGGCGATGAAGGTATTGG